ACAATTAGATGAATTTCATTTGGGGGGGGGTGGAGGTATAGCTAGTGGGTTGCATATTTGGGTGAGTCAATTCATATCTTCACTAACTACCGAATCACTCGTGTCGTGTTTCTTATCTTTCACTTTGTATGCCAAACAAGCTAAATGAGTTTTAATAGAATTCAATATTGGGTGATTGGACCAGGGTCACTCAACTAGACCACAGTGTCATCCTTCAAACTACACAAAAAGATTAAATTCAATTGATTATTTAGATTAATATAAGTTCTTATGAACCTGTCATGGGTTGCCTTTAAAAGAACCTATCTATCTCCAATCTTTCAATTTGTGGCTCTTCACACATCTCATTCTCCGCATTCTAAGTTTGAGTTGGCGCTTCTCCCTTTATGAGTTTTCGCATCCCTATGAATCTAGTCACTCATCGTGTCCCATCTTCCTGCCTAATCTGTTTTCTCTATCTCAAATATTTGCAAGGCACAGTCAATGTAATGTTGAATTACTCAATTGATAGTCATGCTCAAAAGTGTCCCACCTTCAATATGGTTGCAGGTTCAAAAGAACCATTTCTTGTGCTTCGGAATGATGCCGAAAGGAAGCTGGAAGTGAAAATTTATTCCTCAAATTCAGTGGGACAAGATCCTGTGGCTGTCAACAAACATCAGATAATAAGGGTATGGATTTATGTAATCTCTTGTTCTCTTTCTCTGTTACTCTGTTACCCGGAGTAGTTTTTTTTTTGTTTTGACTGTTTTATATCAAATTATAAATTTCCTGATCAAAGCAAGTTAATGACAAACTTTGCTCCCGAATTAGATGATGAAATGTTTCAAGGGATGTCATATGTACTCCATATAGAAACCCCTTAAAATCTCTTCCCTTTGCTTCCTCTGGGATTGATGTCAGGTGAACAGTCTGTGAACTCCCAAGTTTGTCTCTCATAGTCTCATGCACTTGACCATGGAGGCTGCTCGAGTTTTTTTCCTGTGTTTTAATAATGTGAGTTTAGGTATTGTTTGGTACACAATGATTTTTCAAGCAAGCCATTTTCTTCTTTTGCTATGTTTCAGAGGCAAAGGGGGCAATAAATTTCCCTTAGTATTTAAAAAATCAGTTTTGCACGTCCTTGAAAAGAAGTGTGTTCCAGTACTATTTCGTAGGCTGTAATGTCAACTTTTGGACGAATTTGACACTTGAGAAATGGCTAGACCAAAAAATCACTCCCAGACCCCTAAATAAAATTCATATATATTGTTCATTGTTTTATAGGGTCAAACTTTATCTTCTTATATTGCTTATTGCTTTAATCATTTATTACACTAAAACAGTCAAGTTACCTCTTGTTTTATAGTGTTTCATTTAGTTTTTAAATACTCCCTCTGTTCGGAATTAATCTCCCCATTTGCTTTTTCACGTAGTTTAAGAAAAATGAAATTGTTTGGTTGAGATCATTGGAAAGGACATAGAATTAATTTAGACCACTAATTGCATTCCTTTTAAGGAATGAGAAGTTTATATTGGGACAATCCAGAAACAGAAGTGTGAAGATTAATTTAGGACGGAGGGAGTATATAAATTTTAAATTTTATTTTATATGAGTATGTAAATAAGTTCAAATTGAAAAAACTTCAATCAAGCACCGTAAATCGAAATGTGAAGATTATTTAGGAACAATATTTTTGGGAAGAAAATGTTGATGAAAATTAATATTCTTTGGGAAAACCTTACCCATGGAATTTCCTTTTTTTTCCTTTAAAATGATTTTCCTCTATACCCAAAAGTGCCTTAATTTAAAAAAAAAAATTACTCCGTAGTATTTTGTTTGTGAATTGTTTTCTTACATATAGAGTCCTGCATCTTCAACAGGTAAATATCTCATCAACATTGAGCAAAGGCTCCAAAATAGTAGTTGATACAGGTAGTAGTGGTAGATGTGAGCTTCAATTGGGTCAGTCTGTGGGGTCTATGGACAGCTTTGTCCAGCAGCTGTCCCTATACTCGAAACAAGTGACTCCCATCTACGGCGTCTACTTCCTGTTTCTGGTGGCACTTGTTATTGGTGGCACTTGGGCTTCCTGCAAGTTAAGGAAGAAGAGACAGCATGGCACTGTTCCTTATCAGGAACTGGAAATGGCGTTGCCGGAGTCTTCTTCTGCCATAAATGTGGACGACGCCGCAGAGGACTGGGACCAGGGTTGGGACGACGATTGGGATGAGGACAATGCGGTAAATTCACACCGCTTCGGTAGCATTTCTGCCAATGGCCTAACTGCCCGGTCTGCAAAAAAAGACGGATGGGAAAACGACTGGGATGACTAGTGAAACAAGGTAAATTTTTGTGATCAAGACTGAAAAATACCAACCATACATAATACAATGGGAAAAGCTATAGTGACACCAAATATGACACCACAAATTAAAGATAGTGTGTTATTGTATGTGCGTGTCTGTGACACACAGTAGTGTCATATCTCGTGATCACTATAGCATGACTCTAATACAATTACCCAAGGAAGCCAAAATCTTGTAATTCTTTTCACTTCTTCTTTTTCACCTAATAGATTTCTTCTACCACAGAAGTTTGCTGTACCATATTGTTGCTGTCATATTTTCTTGTAGAATACATAGAACCAGCCTCTCTCTTTTATTTTCTTTTTTTTTTTGTTTGGATCATTTTAAATTTTATAATTTCGACCCATTCTTGTTTTTTTTTCCTTCCATACTCCAATATTTGGAATTTTTTTACTGAGAAGCCCACAAAAACAAGATTTTGGAGTCTGCTTTTAGTGGGTGTAGTAAGGGTCCGTTCCGTAGGACTTATTTTTTCGACTTATTACTTATTCTTATTAAAATCAGATCAGATCAGACCAAACTAGACCTAATCAGATCAGATCAGACTCAATCAGATCAGATCCAATCAGATCAGACCAGATCCAATCAGATCAGATCTGATCCAATTAGATCAGACCAGATCCAATCAGATCCAATCAGATCAGACCAGATTCAATCAGATCAGACCAGATCAAATCCAATAATATCAAATCAAGAAAAATATAAAAGATAATGTTTATTTTTTTTAATGATTAAATAATAATTACTATTATTTTATTAAATCACATTACTTTATTTAAAAATACGCACACCTAAATCTTAATTAATATTATTATTTTAAATATTATTGTTGTTATATTATTATTGTTGTTGTTGTTGTTATTATTATTATTATTATTATTATTATTATTATTATTATATTTCAACTACAAACCGTTATTTTTAATAATTGTTTAGCTTGTAGGATAGAAATGATGCATGGAAGCAATGCTAAAGCTTAAAAAGTTTTATTTTTCATACTTTAAAAAGAGTTATTTTAAAATACTTGTTTATAAAATAATTATACAAAACTTAGTTTTCAAAACTATAAATATTTTATACTTAAAAAAACTTACTTTTAAGCTTTAAGAGGGTAAAATATACACAAGGGTGAGTTTATGACAAAATTGATAGAGGTGAAAGGGATATTAGTGTTTAAAATTTTATATGATATTTAATTTGTAACATGAAATATTTTATTATGTAATATGTATATAGAATGTGATATTCTTATAGAATAGCATCAATATTTTCTAATATTTGGTTATTTTAATACCGATTATTTAGTTTTCACAAAAATTAAAAAAGTTGTGATATTGAAAAAATGTTTAATATTTTTTTAAAAAAGTTTAAACATATCAACGATTAGCTGATTTTCTTATTTTACTTTTTTTTATGTATATATGAATTGTAATACTTTAAAACTATTAAATTTTGTAATAACTTTAAGTTTAGTTTAAATCAAATTTAAATTCATTTACACCAGATCTAATTAGAGAAAATCAGATCCAATCGGATCAAATCAGATCCAATCGGATCAAATCAGATCCAATCAGATCAGATCATATTCAATCAGATCAGATTCAATCAGATCAGATCAGACTCAATCAGATCAGATCCAATCAGATCAGATCAGATCCATTCAGATTAGATCAGATCTAATCAGATCAGATCCAATCAGATCAAATCAGACCCAATCAGATCAGATCAGACCCAATCAGATTAGATCATATCAGAACTTCAAAAATTCAGATCAGATTCAATCAGATCAGGCGTACGGAAAAGAGCCTAAACCAATTCACCATGGGTAGATCTATTTTAACGCCAAAATTTGACACATGGTGTCAAAGTTCAATTTCAAATTTGGTGTGACTGTAGCATAGTCCATTCACCATTGGTTGGGTATTAAAAATACAAAAATGCCTATGTCGCACATGCATTTTGTGTCAGTGTCTGCCAGTGCAAAACAGTTTATAATTACTAAAATAATTATCATTATTGTTATTATGCATCACATTGAAAGATGAGATTATATTTGAAAGATCAGGGCCTTGCTTGGATGTTGGATGTTGGATGTCGGCTGTTGGCTGTTGCTGTTTCTATCAGCTTTTTTGAATGCATGTTTAGTATAGCTGATTTGACCGGCTGGATGCGTTGGCTGATCGTTAAATATGTTTGATAAAATTAGTTGTTTGAAAATAGCTGCTTCAAGATTTAAAAAAACAGACACACACACACCCACGCACGCACGCACGCGCGCACACACACAATGCTTATATATATATATATATATATATATATATATATATGTATGTATGTGTGTGTGTGTGTGTGTATATATATATATATATATAATAGACACACACACACACAATGCTTTTAAATGATTTTTACTTTTTTTCTCATTTCATTTATTTTGTTTTTTAAATTTTAAAAATTTTAAATGTTAATTTTTTTAACTTTTATTTTTTTTATTGTTTTTACATGTATTATTGAATATCTTTAAAAAAAATGATAAAAGAAATTAATTTTTCTAACAGCCAAGTCCAAAAGCTACTCCCTTTGGCTTTTCAAATTTTGGGTTTTCAAATCAAACATCCAAGTGAAAAAGTCATTAGCCAAACAATGGTTTTGGCTCTACGATTAGTCAAAAAAGTCAAAGTTAATCAAAGATGTCAAAAGTCATCCGAAATGATGTTTTCCAAACAATGCCCGGGTAAAGTTGGAATTATTTTGAATAATTTTTCCTTTTTAATTTGAAACAATACTTTTCTCCATCTCAAGATTTTTTTACAGGCTTGACCATCCGCCATTCTGCCATCCTAACCATTTAAAAATTATTTCCAAAGATTAAAGTTTAAAAGTGAAAGGAAATACAAATATACTCATTCCTACATGTTGGAATTTGGCAAAAATGAAGAGCAAAAGTTGTTTTTAAATAAAAGTACAAGTTGCATGTCAAAGAAGAAAATGAAAAAAAATATTTTTAGACAATCAAATTAATTTTAAGAATGATAAATATTTATTACTTTGGCATTAAATCTTTCTTAAATATTCATCACTCTGTTGTTACCAATTGGTATCATTTTTATTAATGTTACATTACATTTTCACACACACACATATGCCATGAGACTCTCACATAAAAGAAAGTAGAGAAACACAAAAAGGAGGAGAACGATTGAGATAGATAAAATTTATTTTTTGAGTGATTTGTGAGAGACACTGATGTAATATATATATATATATATATATATATATCCACATCGTGAGTAGATGAAATAGATTGTCCTTCACTAGGACGATCGGGCACAGAGGAGAGAGAGAGACATATGCTAGTCGTCTCAGATTCTACAAAAGTCCAGATTTCGAAAAGTTGGCGCCGCAACTAGGGTTGCGAACACATCTTTGAACATACCCTGATGAAGGTGTGATAGCTGCAAAGAAGGTTCGAAAAGGGTTTGAGTTAGAAGTCTTAGTTTTGAGGTTTTGTCTAACAATTTGAAAAAATAATGTCTCCTAATGTTAGTATTGACCCGTGTAATATGCTTCTAGTATTTAGTAGAGAGCTATTACACGAACGTGGGCCCTCCGAGTAAGAGGTTTTGCTTCAAACTATATAAACAACTCTAGTGCAATGTTTACTTATTTTTACTTTATTATCTACGCGTGTGCATGTGACAGAGAAGATGATATAGCACTCTCTCTATCAATCGATGTTTTATTCGTGCTATAATCTCATCCTAACAGGGTGGGGCTGGGGTGGGGGGTAAGGGTGGGTCTGGGGTGGGGGGTTTAGGGGGAGGGTTAGAGGGGGTAGGAACCGTCGTTTTTACAAACGGAGCACCGTAGGTACCCCAAACGAACTGGTGTAAAAAAATGACACCAGTAGTACTGGTGTCATTTTAGACTTAACGTTTAAAAAATATGATCTTGCACCTTGTTCAAAATAAAACAATATTTTTGGAAGAGATGTTTCTTCCCACATTGTAGTAAAGTGGGCCCAACCGCCAAGGGGGTCAATCCGAATAGTACTTGTATAAACGGGGTATTTCAGCGCCACCAAGAAACTCTTTCTTTGACGAACTTTCCTGTCACAATCACACCAGGGAACTCTCTCTTTTCTTCTCCTTCGCCGAAGCACTACCAAAGGTTCTTTTTTTAATCTATCATCACTATGTTTCTGTTTTTTTCCCTATGATTTCAGATCTGTTTGTTAATCTCTTATACAGTTGAACTAAAAAAAGTTTGGATTAAATTATAAAGGAAAACGAGAACGGAAATTGGGCTCAATGTGCACCCCTCTTCTTTCTCTATTTAATTTGGATCAGTTGGCTATGTATTGATTTAGATAAGAAAATTTAATATTGAAGGATTTCGGAGGTTCTGCTTCTGTTATCTTACGAAGGGGAGGAATTTTTTGCGTTTAATTTGCTTTATCAAACTTCGATGATTTATTTAGTTGTTAATTTTATTTTTGTTATTTGAACACAATGCTAAATATTAAACGTCTAAAGATCCGAAATTTCACAAAAAAACCAGGATATATTCATCATTGTACATGCTGCCAAGTGATTGAATTTTGGATCTGGTCTATGCTCCTTTTGGGGTTAGCTAAAATTACTAGTTTGTAATTAGGGTTTGTAATTTGTATACTTATTTAGATGGAATACTTACCGGGTTACCCCATTCTGCCGAAGAACACGTCTGAGAATGACCCAGAAGGATGTAGATTGGGCATTCTCTCCTTTTTCGTTATCAATGTAGCTAAAGATAAGTGTTCTTTGGAGAGAGATCAGAAATATTTTGAGGCTTGGAGAGAACACTATGTTTATGCAAGTTGTGCGAGAAAAAAAAAACATTAAATAGTGCATTAATTATCAATTGATTTTTAAAAATGGGGTGTGGGGAATTGAGCTGCTGTTTTCTCTTTAAAAATGTGAAACACCGTTTTGAAGATATCATAAGATTATTTCTACTGACCACAAAATCAATAAGTATTACTCCCTCCGTCCCTAAATAATCTTCCAATATTGACTTAACATGGAATTCAAGAAAGGTGAAATTTTGTGGTTGATATTTGGGCAGAGGAGAGAGAGTGATTGTGAACCATATCATATGATTCTTTCTTTAAAAGAAAATGGGAAGGTTAATTAGGGACATCCACAAAAGAAAGTGAGAAGATTATTTCGGGACATGTGGAGTATATTTCCCACCTGTATGAGTGAACTATCAGATGTAATAAATTTGGACTTCTTCATGCTTCATTTATGACTTTTCAGTAACTTTCATTTTTCCTTCTTTTTGCACATCGACTTTTATGGCAGGTCCTGCATTTGTATCTTGATGAATTCAAGCATTACCGTGTCATCAACAGTTTCCTCTAGAGCGGGAAACAACACTGACTTCTTTTTCTGGGTTCTTGTTTCCTTAGTTCCAAAGTTCATTAAGACTCACACACTGCACATTGACTTGTTTTTGATTAAGGGAATTGAGAGGATATCATTTGTAATTCTAAATTTCGAAGCATTCAGAAATAATAAGGTGTAGTGTGCTACTTTAGCCATCTGCATTCTTGATCAGGATTGTTAGCATGGTTTCCTCTCAGCTCCCATGTCCCACAAAATCTTACATGCCGAAATCATTTAGGAACGATTTTATTCTACACCTTAGTTCTCCTGATGTCTCCTCAGAGCAGGTTGAGTTGGACTTTTCTGATGTTTTTGGCCCTCAACCACTAAATGAACCTAGTGATGGGATATCTGAAGATGCTAATATTAATGAGCTCCTATATTACGATGCTGAGGTTATCTGCAACCAATTACATTCTTTGGTGGGCCCCACCTCATTTGTGAGTCAATCTTTGAAGCCTGGCCAGCTCACCCTTCATGAAATTGAAGTCTCATTGGAGCTTACAGAAAGTTTGATTGGTGAAGCAATAAAAGAAGATCAAACAATAGGCCTTCAAGATTTTGATGTCATGAAACTCGTTGGACAGGGTGCTTTTGGAAAAGTTTTTCAGGTGAAGAAGAAGGGCACATCCGAAATCTATGCAATGAAGGTCATGAGGAAGGACAAGATTATGGAGAAAAACCATGCTGAATACATGAAAGCAGAGAGGGATATCTTGACAAGGATTGATCACCCCTTTATAGTCCAGCTTAGATATTCATTTCAGGTAACATTTGAATCAATTATTATCTCTGTTTCATAATGTAACTTTCTTTATTTTCCTTTTTTTAAGGTATTCTTAATTCTTTTAATATTCATCCTACAGACAAAATATAGACTTTACCTCGTGCTAGACTTCATTAATGGTGGACACCTATTCTTTCAGCTTTACCATCAAGGCCTATTCTGGTATCAGTCTTTTTTTTGTGCTTTATTTATTTTTTTATTTGAGATTGTGATATATACCTGATTTATGTCTCAGCGAGGATCTTGCACGCATATATACAGCAGAAATTGTGTCAGCGGTGTCTCACCTTCATGAAAATGGTATAATGCACAGGGATCTCAAACCAGAAAACATTTTACTGGATGCAGATGGCCATGTACACTCCTTTGTCTCCTCTGTTTGCCACCCCCACACCCTTTTCCCAGAGTGTCTGTTTGGATCTTGAGTAATTCTAGGAAAGAAAATATGGATGAGAATATAGTAGAAATTTGGAAGAAAAGAAAAAGCTCCCTCTGACACTCAAGAAGGTTCTACATTTCCTTATTGGGGTGTCAAAACTATAAGGTTCCATTTTCCTTATAAGGGAAGAATTATGCCGTTTATATTATTCGTCTTGCTCCTTCATAAATCTCAGCCACACAAATTTTCCCTTCTTAATAGTTATGGCAGTTGCAGTTTGGAACCTTTTTGCGTGATGGAAGGAGTACGAGGAAAAATAAAACAATTGTTTAAACTCAACATATTTATTGTGTATATTTCTTCAAACCTAATATTACATATGCAAACTTTTAAAAACTATGATCGTATTTTGTTTTGATTTGAACTTTCCGTGTTCAAACCAAACACAAGAAAACAGTTTTCGTTAGCAACTCCCTCCCTCCTTTTCCTAGCATTTCCCACTATCCATAACTAACCCATAGAAATGTCTACTTGGCTGTTGCTTTTAATGCAATTTGCACAATTTCATTTAATTACAATGAGACTTTGGCTTGTGGCATTTTAGGCAATGCTAACTGACTTTGGACTAGCAAAGGAATTTGAGGCAGATAAGAGATCAAACTCCATGTGTGGAACAGTACATTATATGTCACCTGAAATTGTTCTTGGAAAAGGCCATGATAAGGCTGCGGACTGGTGGAGTGTAGGAATTTTGTTGTTTGAGATGCTTACTGGAAAGGTATAGTCTCAATCTTCCTTGTCTATGAGAAGGAAAGGAACCTCACTTTAGGTTTATCATTTTACATTGAAAAGTACCAGCATCATTTAAAATATCCACTTGTGACATTTTTGTCTGATTTTTCAGCCTCCTTTTATCGGCAACAGAGAGAAAATTCAACAGAAAATAATCAAGGAAAAAATCAAACTGCCATCATATTTATCTAGCGAGGCACATTCTCTACTGAAAGGGGTAAGTTCCATTTTATAATTGTGTTTTTAAAACTGTATTTCACTCAACAGAATTCATAATATGTACGGAGTAGTTTGGAAGCAATGCTCTTTTTTGTTCCAGTATCTGAAAAAAAACATTTTTTTTTAAAAATATCACTGGAAATGAAGTGTTTTGATTTCATTGTGCTCGAACACATTTTTTCACTTTTGACACTTATTAAAACATGTAAAGCTTCTATACAACAAGAGACCCAGTATTTTCCGAACCCTGTTGGGGTCTTTTGGGGGGAGGGGATGAAGATGTACCTCATAGAATTGTAGAAAGTAAGAAGCAAGGAAAGTTTAATGTGTCATTTTGATTTAGTCCATTATTTATATGAAGCTAGAACATTGTAAAAAATGTCTCTTTTAGCAAAATTTGTAAAATTTCTATACAACAAACCCAATTTAAACAAAAGTCATATTTTTGTTAACTAAAACGTAAGGCATCAGTGGAGCTCTCCATATCCAGGGTATCAGTGGGCATGGGGTTACCTGCCTCGTGGTCTATGTTGCATGGATTCTTCAAATAGGTGCTCCTTCCCGTCCCTGAAATGTCCCCGGTCGGGTACTTTGGGGCATCCCCATACCCAAATCGTTTATAAATAATGAAAAAATTTGGCTTTCACTCTTCCGACCCTCTCCCTGTATAAGTCCCTCTCCCTGTCTCGATGTAACTTAGCTTGTCGTCCAGCTCATGCACTTTGACTCCATCGGACGAGTAAGGATTTTGAACCCCACTTTCACCCCTGTTCTGTCATCTAACCCCTCACTTTGAGCCCAAATACCATATAACCTTGCGTAAGGTTGAGGCAATAAGAATTGTTCTTCTTGGGACTTCTGGAATGGCAAGCTTCATTAGGATCATATGGGCAAGCTCCCATAAGCTCTCTATGCAACCATTCTGGCCGGGCTCTATCCAGAATTCTAGGATCAACTCAAGGCCATCATGATACCTCATGGCTCATCATGACCATGCAAGATAGTTATCACCACATTTGTTGTTGGGGACTGTTCGTATCCTTAGACCCCGATGCATCAAGTCTTATACTCCTTCCATCCCAAAAAGATGTGTACAATTTGACAAGTTTTTTTATAAGGTACATTTAATGAGGTGAAAATTATGTGGTCGAAATTTATGCAGATGATAGAGAACACTATGAACCACATAAAACTTTGCAAATATAGAAAAAAAGATGCACATCTTTTTGGTCAGGACGAAGGAAAACATGCACTTTTTTTCCAAGAATTAGTAGTAGAGTCTTGTTTTCAGTGAACACCTTTGAATTTACTATAGTCTAATAGTCCTTATTAAAACGATTCATCTAGGCCATTATATTTAAGTGATATCAATGGTGTGGATGAAGATTAAGGGTCTTATGCGTACTCTTGTTGTTATTGGACACCTATAAATTTTATGTAAAGAACTTGTGGATGCTTTAGAATTTCCTAAGTAAAACAAAAACAAAATATTTGCAAATATAAAACAACCCATACTGCAGCGAGAATCATAATCAAACAAAACCTTAGATTTTCGGATCGATTAACAGACATCTAATTTACTTGTTCAGATATAATGTCGAGCCGTGACTGATTTACTCTCTTTTTTATTTGATTTATACATCTTTAGCTACTACAAAAGGATCCAAGTAAACGCATGGGCAGTGGGGCAAAGGGAAGTGATGAGATAAAGTGCCACAAATGGTTTAGACCGATCAACTGGAAGAGATTAGAGGCGAGGGAAATACAGCCCAGTTTCCGTCCTGCAGTTGATGGGAAGCAGTGTATCGCGAATTTTGACAAGTGTTGGACCGAAATGCCACTGCAAGACTCTCCGGTTTCCAGCCCTATTTGTGACCTCTTTCAGGGATTCACCTACGTGAGACCCGCTGCCTCCTTCCTCCAGAGGACTGGTAGCCCTCTCTGCTAGCTACCACCTTCTTCCTTCATCACGCTTTGAACATTCAATAAGTGGGTGTACTACTAACATTCAGTTTTAACTCTATATGCTTTAATGTATGCTTTACATTATCTACCAAACATGACTTATGTGCTCTTATGAAAGTATCATTTGGTTCCCAGAAATATTATTGTTCCTTGCAACAGGGCCTAGTTTTCTTGAATGTTTTTGGAGCTCTGATTATAGCAAATGTTTTTTTCTGGTGTTCAATACAATGAAATGAAGCCTTCTATTGATTCTTTGAGCTTACCTTCACAAATTCACAATATGACAGATATATAACACAGGAGCACAGTATATATAACACATATATACGCAGGGTTTAAGATTAAAGCTCATCATGATCAAGTAAAGCTCTATCCATATCCGAATCACTCTTCTTCTTCTTCGTCTTCTTGCAACCCCACCGGCATTTATAAGAGCATTGGGAATTGAACATTTTAAGCCTCTTGGAGTGAAGAGAAATGATGCGCGACGCAGAGGCAGCCTTTGAAAGAACAATTGCATACCCATCGTCCATGTAGTCTGTCCCCTCGGGGAAGAGCTGCCACAGCAGGGCCCCACCACCGACTCCGCCTTTCTTGGTAGAGTTCAAGATTGTCTTGTACACAGTGTTGAGGATGGTGTCCCTGTACGTCGAGTTGTAACCGGGATCTTTTGTTGAGACTCCAAACTCTGTGAAAATGATGGGCATTCTTAAGTGGTTCTCGGCGTCTTCAATGTGGGATTGCATCCATGACTTGGTGAATTCCAAGTGCGCCGTGTTTATGTCTCTCGATATCCTTCCATCCAAATTACAGGCATGAGTCTAATCGAATCAAATATAAGAATTTGTTAATCATGTCGCGGAGAAATAGATGTTTTTACCAAGAATCTGGGTAAATGTGGGCAGAAGCAAAATCAACACCAAGAGCTTGATGGTTTCTGATGAAATCTGTTCCAACTTGCTGAGCATAGGAATTTGGGTTGAATGGTGTCCTATTGGGTGTTGAAGGGCCATAGAAACCCTCCAACCCAATCTCCACTAGATGCTGTGGATCCATGCTCTTCACATGGACTGCCATTTCTTGTATCCAATTCTGCACCAATATATACATATACACACATATATATATATGCAAATAGAAATCAACTCATGATCATCATCATCATCATATCACAATACCTGCAGTGTATCTCCGGACGGGTCAGAATCACAGCGTGGCTCATTCATAAGCTCCCACGCGAAAATCGTGGGATCATCTTTGTACTTAATGCCCGTGATGGTATTTACTCTGTTGACGACCGCCTTCAAGAGACGACGAGTTGTTTTGTTTCAAAACTAATGCATTGTACCAACAAAGTCATAACAGAAAAATAAGTATGGTAGCAGCAATGGATAGTAGTGTATGAGGAAGATTACCTTAACATGGGATTTGTAGTACCCTTTGAGAGTGGGGTTTGAGAAGAAGTCATCATCTGAAGTCAAATTCAGGCCTGCATCTTTACCCCATTTAACATACTGCTTTTTTCCTCCATAGGGATCCCAGTTGTTCACAAAGGACAGTATAAGCCTCACTCCATATCTCTTTGCTTCGCTCACCACAAAATCCAATCCCTAGAGCGCAAAACAAGACGTGTTAAGGAACCAACCTTGTAGGTTCAGAAAAAAGTTTTATAAGACTGACCTTGAAGACGGCTTGGTCATAGACGCCGGGGGATATCTGGAGAGCTCTCCACTGGCCATCATTGAAAGCCCAAGTGCGGCAAACGGTCATGCCCACAGAAGACGCCTGCTTGAACACGTCGCTCACTTTCCCTCTGGTCGACTCGTCTGCAGCAAATACCATCAGCCAGTAAGTGTTGAACCCGTTCACGTAAAACGGTTGTTGCCCGTTCATCACCACGAATTGCCCGTTCCCGTTCTTCTCCACCATTCCCCATTCCTCTTCTCCTCCCTCCATTCCTTTCCTGCATGCAAGCAACACATGAATACAAACATATGCATATGTTGCACATATAAGCACATGAACCGCGTTTTACCGGTCTCGCGTTTGAGAACTATGATCATAACGGCCATTGATGCCGTCTTTGAAAGCATGCGATATTGTGGTCCTTAAGAATAACATACAGATGACAAAAGCTGTGAGAAACTGATAGTTTCTGCTTCTCAATTTAAATCCATTCTTTGTAGTATAAGCCATTTTTCGAAAGCTTGGCTAGAGCTCATGAGCTTGTTTTTTGTTGTGTTAGTTTCCCCATTTGGGATAATCATCAGATCAATATATATGTACATCCATATATAATATTGCGTGTGAACAATAATTTAAGCGAATGATATATATGCATATTGTTGGAAAGAATTGCAGAAACCAAATATCTATCATGCATCTATAGCTGCCTTTGAAGCAAGATGCACTCATCTTCTACTCAATATATTTTAACAGATAAACACAATGTTTTATGTTTAATTCAACAACAACAACAACCCAGTTGGTTCCCAAGAAAGTAGGGTCTGGGGAGGAGGTTGTGTGTAGGCAGACCTTGCTCCTACTCGAAAGTAGTATCAAAATGATTTTGACAGTTTTGGTCGTTCCAAAAACTTACAAAATGTAAAGCTATGTGCATTTATTTTAGTATTTAAAAATATTCCCTCTGTACTAAAACTAACTTCACATTCTAGTTTACGATGTTTGGCTGGAGTTGTTTTCATTATAATTTGTTAGAAAATTGATATGAAATTTAAAAATAAAATTTACACTATGTATTTAGATTTATGAAATTAAAAGTGACATGACTCAAATACACTTAATGTATTTTTATATATTAAAAGGGAGAAATTCTTAACTAGAACTCAAATACACTTAATGTATTTTTATATATTAAAATAAAATTTCTATATTTTTATATTAAAATATACTATAAAACGTCAATAATGTTAATATATAATACCAAAAAACACTGCAAAATACTAAACTACAATGTCAATCTTTTTTTATTGAATACTTCGCATATAAATCAAAAACTAATTCCAGAAAAATGAAAAAACAAAGTGGTTAATTAAATCCGTGCAAAAGAGTAAATTTTAATTTTGATTCTACACAAATACGTAGTATTTATGAATTGAAAATAACTTCATTCAAAATTCTAAATCGCAATAACACAAAGTGAGATAATTAAACATAATACTCCCTGCGTTCCACAAAACCCTTCCTCTTTCGTTTTTTTTGCTTTCCACAAAACACTTCCACTTTCTATTAAAAAACCACTTTTACCCCTACTTTTTCATACCCTACCTATCAGATCATACTTTTTCACTAATAACCAAACTATCACATCTTACTTTTTCCCATCACATCAAAGGCAAAATTGAAAAGTCAACCAAAATTACACTTTCCTTATTTTTCCCCAAAGTCAAAACCGGAAGGGTTTTGTGGAACGGAGGGAGTATTAGTTGGTATATTTTTAACATGTGCAATGCTATTGGAATCCCACTTTTGACACAAAAGACAGACACAAACAATCACAGACACTTTGCGAGACAATAACTGTCTATATTACCAATTATGTAAAAATTAACCCCACACTTTTTTCTTTTTAATAATATTTTTCTTTTTCTAATATTTTATCAGATAAACTTTGCATTTTTTATGGAGTTGCACCATATATTTTGCCTCTATAAGCACATATAAGGAGTACAACATTTCAAAACGCTGGACATCACGCTAAATGAATGTGTAGTAGATAGGTAATCACGCCCTCCCTTAGCTTGAACGTATGTCAAGTGTGCACCTACATAAGATTTTCTAATTTTGTAATGCCTAATATTTTAAGTTTTTATAATTATATATAATTATTTGACATATTAAAGATGATTTTCCTTATGTATAGTTTGAGATCTTAATTATTAAAATATTGCACAGTAAAAGTTATCTAGACACTAAATTTGGGATGAAAAAAATATTTATTCCGTATTTGGGATGAAAAAATAGAGTATTTATTTTGTACTTTTGTATAAGTATTCTTAACAAAAAATATTTGTATTATACTCCGTAAATTACATTATTTTATACTACGGAGAATATCAATTTGTATGAATGTTTGTAAACATGTTTGTCTTTGTATTTATTTGCTTTAAAGGATAAGGGATAACATGCTTAATGGGAGGATATGGATTCATTAAACTTGGAGTAGAAGCATTGGTCTTCTTTCCATATTTTCTTATTTCGCCCTTAATTACCACCCCCGGAGCACATCTCAAATAAAATATATATTGTATACTAATTTGACAAAAAAATATATTGAAAATATTTTGTATAATAAATCAAATAAAATTATTTTTATATCAATATCTAATATCATTTTTATTTAATTTTAGGTCAAAATATACCAATTTTGACCTAAAATAGACAAGTACTCAAGAACGGAGGGAGTAATCTGCAATTCCTTATCTTAGGGACGGTTTGACTGTAAAATAAGGAGGGATAATTTTGTGTTGACTTTTAAAAAATACCTTTGATGTGATGTGCAGATTATTAAGAAAAAAGTATGATGTGATAGGTAGGGTATGAAAAAGTAAGGGGTAAAAGTGAGTTTTTTAATATAATAGGAATGACTTTAAGGAACGTAATTTTTTTGAAACGGGAATGCCTCTATGGAACGAAGGGAGTACATAAATCCCAATGGTACCCTTTTCTTTCACAATATCAATTCTCGTACTCCTCTTAATCAAATTGGACCCACCTAATTGGAAGAGATGAGTATATACCGTACCTGAGAAAGTGTGTCAAAAGGAAATGGAAAATCCTACTCAACAGTTCAAAGCCACAAGACTGCAACATTTGAATTTCTATGTCCTACCAACATCCATTCTCTTACTTGTGCATTTTTTTTCTAATTTTATTTTTTTTAATCACAAAATGCAGTTCACAAGCCCTTAGAATCAGCTCGCTATGCAGAGATATAATATCTGAAAGGTTTAATTATAGGGTAGGATGTCCTAAAAGAGCTTCTTTCTTAACAGATTTAGGGGCAGCCCATGATGTCATTTGTGATGAGTAATGACCAAGAAGATAACACGTGTCCCAATTTGGATGCAGTGTTATGTGTCATGCAACAACAAGTGAAGACACTAGGAGAGACTAATGTTGTTTCAAATTGAATTGTCTTCCTTTGTTTGGGGGTACTTGTTAATTAGAAGCCCTTTATCAAAATTGCTGGTTTTTACAAAACCAGTCATTGGAAAAATTAGCAGTTTCCGGATTCCATATTTCCACTAGAGCAAACCAATGGGTGCCAAATTGGAAAATGATAAATTGTCTTTAATCCAACCACCATTTTTTTTTGAAGCAATGGCGCATCTGTTAACCCGACCCAAGGGCAAAATCTTTGATGGATATCCGGACCCAGAGAACGCGAATGAACGGCCCAATCTGAAAGAGCGATTTGGGCTGGTGCGATGAAAGGCCAGGTACTCGTCAATTGGCCCAAGCGTAAAGCGAAGGTTCTGAAAAGCGCAAGGACGTGGAGATATCAAGGGAAATATGGTGAACCACCACGATCGGTGTGCGAGCGATAATGGCGAGAATTGTACGCACGATAAGTGCCCATTATCTATGTATTTGTAGGTAATATAAATAGAGGGAGAACCCTCCATTGTAAGGCAAGTAAAAAACATTGAAACACAGTTATTAATAGATGTATTGTGAGATTTATCAATTATCATTATAATTCGTTCTTCGTTGCCATAGTTGTTGGGCTAATTGCCATCAATCTTATATGGGCAATTGGCCATAAAATGACTCGGAGTATATGGACATTCTTATTCGATTCATAAATGTTCACTTGATATCCTTTATATATAAAATTTGAGAGTTGAACGCCACATTTGGTGTGCTGACTAGAACTTTTTTTGACACTTCATCAGTCATGTCATCAAAATGGACTTTCAGAATATTTCAAACGGGTTGGGCTTCTAGAATTGTGACATGTGGCGTGCTCATTGGACAACTTTTCTTACATGTCAGCATGCCATGTTAGCAAGTAATGTTTAAAAAATACTAAGCAAAAAAAACATATTATGCGGAAATTAAGTTTCGTAATTGTTACACACAAATTTCTCCGTATAATCGCGTTTAAAAACTTTTATATTTTAATTCATTATTGGAAAATATTTAGATTAAATAGTAAATTTTGAAATTTAAAAAAAAACACCTATTCAAAAACTATAATCAAAACAAATAAATTTATTCTATGAACGCATAGATTGGTAGGACTAAACGAAATTATATTTTATTTTTTTGCTTTGAATTAATACTAATTGGAGAGATTTTCTAATTATTTAAAAAACAGAAACAAATATATAAAAGGAAATGGATTTTTATGGGCACGTTTATTCAATAGAGCATTAATTTTATTCTGTATATATAAAAAAATCTAAATCAAATAACAAGTACGTCCATTTTAAAATTAATATTTTTCATTTTAAAATTATTGTTTTCCATGTCTAGCTTTGTAAAAATTTAATGTAACAAAAATTATCATTTTCCATTTATAACTTTGTTAGATGATCAAGACTTGGTAAGTGAGTATTTATGTGTAAGAAATTAAATATTAATTGGTATTCCTAATCGAAATATTTATGGTATAATATTAATTGTTATAAATGTAATTACTTTTAAATTTAATTCTTAAAAAATATAAAACGTGCTAATTATTCTGACATCTGTGTCAAAATAATATAAATAAGTAATACTCTTTCTTATTTATTCATTGATCCATCGATATCAATGTAACAAATATTAGTGGATAATTAAAAAAATTATATTTAAAGTTTTTAGATAAAAAATTATAATATTTATTTTATGATGGTTATTACAAATACAAAAGGAGAAGGATCGTCATCGGCTATAAACACGCATCATCGAACACGTTCGAGAAAGAATGTATTTTGCAAACACGTTCCAGTACATATTTCCCAAATAATCATCTATAATTTTCCAACCACGAAACAATTATACACACGCTTTATCATGCTTTCAAGTGCATAAGAGAAAAAAGAGAATTGATCTATCTCTATAACCCATTCTACTAATTTCTTTGAAGATGATAATAAACTATTGTCTTTTTGTATTAACTAATTATATGTATAAAATATTATAAACAATATAAGAAAATAGTTCGTAAATTAATATGGTGGGCACACTCGATATATTTTAAATTTAGATGTCGAGGTAGAAGGTTCATCTGCTTAAGATACATTAGTGGAATCAATTTTAGATGATCCTGCATTT